ACAAAAAAAAATAATACTTTTTTCATTATTCTCCTTTCGTCATTCATGGAACTTCATGGGGGATAAAATACGGGTCCCCTTGGCATATTGCAATAGATGGAATATGCATCTATAACCTCCTTTAAAAAGTGCCAGATCCTTTTTTCTAACAGTAATAAAGTGAGAACAGCAACTCTCAAGTAGCACCTTTGAGAAATGTTGCAGTATGACTGCCATCCTCCCCAGCTATTAGGGGTGATGACCATTGCTGTCCAAGACACCTGGAGCTTGCTCCTTGAGCTGACAAGGCTAAGTTTGCATGTTGCACGAAGGTGGTTTAGCACATTGTGTTAACCCAACTGTTTTGTAAATGTGGTTTACAAACTTAGCATCCTATGTGAATCCAAATGTGTGTTACTAAACAAACCATGGATAATGCCGTGTGTGCTACTGATGTAGACGTGGAGGCTGTAGCCTACCATAGCTGAACTTACCTAATGCCATATTACAATTAGAGTTCTTGTTGTTGCCTTGAACATTAAATTAATTTGACTCTTCTGCTCCCTAGCAACCCTAAGCAGAGAATGTTGTTGAGGACTGTGCTCATTAAAAGCAAAACTGTATGCCCAGATGGCATTTAGCTGGCCTTGCCTGATTTTTTTTTTTTTAAAAAAAGATCAACGGGGGTCTGACTGTTCAGGACTGGTGACCTGGAAATCCTAGGAAATTGGGAAATTGAGCAAAGAGCCCAGAAGTTTTGTGTTGTTGGCCCTCCCTCTCAACAAATCCAAAATTTACTTACTGGACCGCATACTGCCGCATAGTTCCCAGAGACCGGTGAGGTCCCACAGATTGGGCCTCCTTCAGGTCCCGTCGGCCAGACAATGTCGGCCGGCAGGCCCTTGGGGAAGGGCCTTTTCTATGGTGGCTCCGACCTGGTGGAATCAACTTCCCCCCGAGATTCGAACTACTCCCACCTTGCCGGCCTTTAACAAAGCCATTAAAACTCTCCTGTTCCAGCAGGCCTGGGGTTGATCTCCCCGGGGGGGGGGATACGATTGGGACACGCTGTGTGAATGCACTTATTTTATTGTTTTATTGTTATATTTATTGTTTTAATTTTGTACGCCGCCCTGAGTCCCTAGGGATTGGGCGGCATATAAATGTTATTAATAAATAAATAAATAAATAAATAAATAAATAAATAAAATGCTTGAGTCCATCTAACCACAAGATGTGGTCCTATTTGAGGAGGAACTTTGTTTCACTTTTCCTTTTTTTTTCTTTCCTAATAATTGTTGGGTTAATTAACTGAAGGGTTGGGGGTTTGGGGGAAAGAGGCGGGGCTTCTTAAAACAATTTTAGCAGGTCATTCCCCCCCCCCCCACTTCATTGCATTTGTCTTGCTTTGAATGCAATGGAGAGCTTTAATGGACTTGATTTCTAAGAAGAGCACCAACGGGACCAAGAATAGTGGTCCATCTGCTGAAGATAACCTCTGCTGAACTGGACTTGACAGCTTGTTTCCCAGAAAGAAAGATAATAGAGGCAGATGGGACAAGAGAGTTGAGATAGAAGTTTCTGGGATAAACCCAAAAGTGCTTTTCCCCAAAAAGGCCAACGGGCTTTCAAAATTCTGCCTCCGTGCAACATGTGAACTTAGCCCTATCAGCTCAAGGAGCAACCTTCAGCTGTCTTGGCTAGCAATGGCCATCACCACCCATGGCTGGGGAGGATGGGAACTGTACTCCAACATTTCCAGGATGTTCTACTTGAGGGTGGCTGTTCTCACATTCTGAAGAACTGAAGAAGCTTCTTGGATAAAGAAGAGAAACCATTTCAAGGAAAACAGAAACAAAACAGGCCAGATGCCTTTTGGAAAAGCACTTTTGGGACAACGATGTTCTGGATGATTGATAATCTCCGTAGACATTCTAAGGTGAACATTTCTCTAGTCACCACGTCTTGGAGGTGACAGAGAAAAATCGAAGGACGTCACAATTTAATAAGGTATTAATAAGTCTGATATAAAACACTACAAAAGGTTATCTCCTTTCCTAACACTGTACAGTATCAGCTTCCCCCACCTGACCTATGGAAACCAGAGAAAGGGACCCCCTGGTAAATATATCAGAGCAAGTTTCTGGCATGTAATAGCTTTCTCACTATCAAATGTCAGCTCAGTTGTGCTCTGTTAACGGGGAAAAAGCAAGAAAAATCAGTTGATATCACTTACTGTATGTGTGAGCTTACATGAGAGCTGATCCTAGGTATAGAGGGATTTAAAATTGTCTAGTCAGGATAACACAAGGCCATCCTTATTTACAGAGATTTGTGCGTGTATCAGGGAAGGTGGGTGAATGGGCACTTTTCCCCAAGAAAAAACAGCAATCCAAATGTTTCTAGAATAAAACAGGAACCAAAGAACACATCTGGCAAAATAATATCCTAAAGGATATTTTCATCGAGTAGGTGAGGATGAATAGTATGTGGAGGAATCATTTAAGTCAAATCCAACATTGGCAGAAATCCAAATTAACCTTCCCCCAGATAGATATTGTCCATTTCCTGGACTGTGCATTTCCTTGATTGTCCATTTTCTGCTTGAACATTTCCAGTGAAAGGGTGTTCACTCTTTCTCTCCTTGATTTATTCTACTGATGAGCTGCAGTTATTAGGATTTTTCTCTTAACTTTCCACCTAAATCTGCCTTAACCTCTTTACTCAGTGTCCTGTATTTCCGTTAATCCAGAGCAAGTGTTCTTTCTACTGCAGGATTCAGAACGTTGTAGTGTATCAGTTGCATCCAACTCACCATTTCTAGGAAGGAAGGAAGGAAGGAGGGAGGGAAGGAAGGAAGGAAGGAAGGAAGGAAGGAAGGAAGGAAGGAAGGAAGGAAGCAAGGAAGGAAGGAAGGAAGGAAAGAAGAAGGGGGAAGGAAATAGAAATCAAAGAAGGATGGGGATAGAGACTAAAAAAAAAGGAAAAAGGAACAAATGAAAGAAGGAACAGGAGAGTCAGCCAAAAGGAAAGGGATAACAAAATAGGAAGCAAGGAGGAAATTAAAAGAATAGGGAGGGAGGGAGGGAGGAAGGAAGGGAAGGAAGGAAGGAAGGAAGGAAGGAAGGAAGGAAGGAAGGAAGGAAGGAAGGAAGGAAGGAAGGAAGGAAGGAAGGAAGGAAGGATAACAGGTCTGCTGTTCTTTGAAACGGGTGCATTTTTCACAAAATCCAGTTTAGCGCAGTTTCTTTCCAAGAAATAATAAGCTGATGATGGTAATAAAAACTGATTATGTCGAAATGGGCAATCAAAGAAAATCATATGCATATGACATGGCCAAATGAAAGCTCATTGCTAGACAAAATGACATTTGGATCCCTCAGAGAGTGAAACTGTATTAAAAAATGACCCTCCAAATTGTGCACACATTTACACAAATAATTATTTTCCGACAGGCCATGCAGGCTTCAAAGTCTTGTGGAAATGAGGGGTTGATCTGGCTCGCTTTGCTAAATGATGATGCTTCACACCTTGTTTACTGGACCCTTTAGATTGTTTCTAGCATTCTGACCTTTTTCTTTCTATCTCTGACATATATGACCTTTGACAGCATCCACGGGAGAACTTATTCTAATGAGCCAGCCAGATCATTTTATTGCTCTTCTTCAATTAGCATCTCATCAGAGTCCCGTGTTCTGGAAGAGTTCCTTTGCTGATTTGCTTGACAAGGCGGAGAAAGATTTGCACTGGTCTTGAGTTTCCATTTTTTTAGACCTTGTGAAAATGCATGATGGAGCAAGTCAAGGACAGAGCAGAGGATGGGATGCCACCTCCTGATCTAAGTATTTCGCAGAGGCGTTTCTGGAAAATGTTGCTATGCATTCTTGAAATGTGGAAAAACTATACATTCATGGATGCGGCAGGCTTAGCTAAGAGCACATAGAAAGCATGGGATGCATGAAAAATAGGAACTCGGTCATTTCCTTGCTTTGAGTCCTGCTTCCTGCGTTTGGATCCTAGTTCTTGCTTTTGAATTCCCACTTTCTGCTTTCAAAGAAAAATAACTTTTTTGTTCAAGGCCATCCCATTAGCCCGTGGCTGTTGTTCTCCTTTGACTGCTGTTTAGCAGGCAGTATCCCAAAAGTAGATGTCTCAGGGTCAAAACTCACTTTAGTCAATGTACTTTCAACAATATAATTACATTAAGTTAATTGCATGTTTTTGCCTGGTTCCTCTTTATATTTAGTCAATTTTATTTTTGGTTACCTTAAAAATTACAGATTGGTACTGTTATTTGGAGATGCTGACAGAGTAATAGAATAATAGAGTTGGGAGGGACCTTCTAGTCCAATGGTGGCGAACTTATGGCACGGGTGCCAGAGGCGGCATTTGGAGCCCTCTCTGTGGGCACCTGTGCTGTTGCCCCAGCCTCGCCTCCCCCTGCGACCCCCTCCTTTCCAGCAGCCTCCCTGAAGGAGAGTCGCCCCTGAGTGTGGTCCACGCAGAGCAGCGCAGCCAAGGACATGTCAGCCAGGCAACGTAGACAAGACTCTGCCCTCACACACCATTGTGCACAGTTGATGCTGCAGGGTGCGGGCAGAGGGTGTGACCGCCATAGCGCTGTTGGGCTGCCTGGGCGATCTGCGGCGGGCCCTGGAGGCGGTGAGTGGCCCTGCAGGCAGGCGGGGTGGGGGATGGAGCAGGAGTGGGGCAGGGGGTGGAGTGGGGGCGGGGCCAGTTTTTGGGCACTCGGTCTCTAAAAGGTTCGCCATCACTGTTCTAGTCCAACCTCCTGCTCAATCAGAAAACCCTATGACCTTTTGCTTTTGGTTCAACATGCTCTTGGAGTTGCCTCCAAAACTTTGTGGAAAAGCAAGATATGTGTCTTTGGACATTAACATACAGGTAATCCTCAACTTACAGCCACAATCCAGGGTCATTAAGCAAATAGAGCAATCCTTAAGGAAATCTGACTTCCCCCATTGGCTTTGCTTGTCAGAAGTCTCTTAGGAAGGTTGTAAATGGCGAACATCTCATTGAAAGAAAAGTCTTCATCAGGGTCCAGTCCAAGCTGGGAAAAAACAAAATGGAGACTGCTTTAGAAAGAAGGTTGTAGTTTATTGAAGAGCAGAGCCAGACAGAAATATGGCTCTGGGAAAGCTGATCACATGTAGCTGGGAGTGGTGGGTTTTTATACCTTCTGGGGCTCTTGAGGTTGCTTCCTGTTCCTGTGGCATGAACTTTGACCCTCCCCCTTTTGAGCATGTCCTTTTGGTATTCCGATTGTGGTGTGTTAATCCTTTTATGTCCTAAAGGTCATTACCTTTAAAGTTTGGGTGGGGTGTGTAGATTTTAGGGGTCTTTGTCTTATAAATCTCATCAGCTTCTAGCTTCCTGGTTCCTACCTTTCTGAATAGGATTATCAAATCTGCATGTCTACAGACCTGGCCTCTGCCTGGGGCTGTTAAGAAAACTGGGCCTGCTTTTCTGCCTTTTAAGACCCTTTGGGAAAATATAATATTCTGCCTTTTTAATATTCCCCCAAAATATTTCTTTCTTTTTTTGGGGGGGGGATGCTGTCCTCCCAAAATCTGATCAAGGGATGCTTTAACCACCACAAATACAGGTTGATTGCCAAGCATCTGAATTTTGATCACGTGACCCTCAGGGATTTTGCAATGGCCATAAGTCGTAAGTAACTTATTTCAGCCTCATTATAAGTTTGAACATCCATGAAATAAAATGGCTGTAAGCTGAGGACTCCCTGCAGGATACAAGGAGGCACATACAGGTAGTCCTCGACTTATGACCACAATTGAGCCCAGAAAATTTCTGTAGTTAAGTGAGACATTTGTTAAGTGAGCTTTGCCCCACTTTACAGCTTCCCTTGCTACAGTTGTTAAGTCAATCACTGCAGTTGATAAGTTAGTAACACGGGTGTTAAGTGAACTTGGCTTCCCCTCTGACTTTGCTTGTCAGAAAATCACGAAAAGGAGATCTCCTAACCTCAGGACATAGCAACCGTCATAAATATGAACCAGTTGCCACACATTTGACTTTTGATCACATGGTCATGGGGCTGCCACAAAGGTCGTTAAGTGTGAAAAGCGGTCATAAGTCATTTTTTTTCAGTGTCGTGGTAACCTTGAACAGTCTGTAAGGCACCTCAATTTTACATCTTAAGAAGACAGAACTCTTGGAATGTCTCTTCCAACAGGGATCTTTATTAAGAGAAGCTGATTGCAGGCATGCTAGACAGGATCTGGGGGATCCTCTCCCACCATTCAATGTTTTAAAGTGTTTCCAAGCAGCCCCCACCCACAGTTCTTCCGGGCGATTCAATCCGTCAGTCCGCTCCGTCGGCACGATCACTCGTCCTCTTTTCCCAGATCCAAGGTGTTGTATTTCCCACCCCCTTTTCCTCACTGCTGGCAAAGGGGAGTGAGATGAAAGGCGATGGCCACATTGTTATGGTTAGTTCCCTCAATGAGAATCCACAAACGGTCACTTTGTAGTTAATGAAGGAAGTGAGAGTCATAAACCCCCCATGCTTTCCCTCCTCCCTTTTCGTAGTATGACAGAATCCAGAATAGAGTAAGAACTGGTTTTTCATCAGAGTAGGTAGATAGAAATGAAATATAATTGGATTCTGACACAGTCACTACATGAACTGCTGTAAAACGAGGACTACCTGTAATTCACTATGTCTCAATTTCATTATCTCCCGAATTTTCTTCTACAGAAGTCGACAGGTGATTTTTCAGTGCCTTTTTTGTGTTCTTTTTCAGATGAATGCCGATCTCTGCTGTAGCAATCCGTGTGGATTTGCCTTTTCACACTTAAAAGTCGTAGATGTTTCAGGTTTAAAGAATAAAGACATCAGGATCAAATCAACAAGCTACGTGGCCCTCTCTAAACCATCTCTGCTAAAATTTCATCCTTTTGTCGATAGATCAGAAGCAAATGTAGGAAAAAAATTGCGCTCTTTTACAGCAAAGGGAAGCCCCACGGAAATGAGCTGAATGAGGCTATTAACCGATTTTCAATACAAAGCTAATTGATAAAAATCAAGGCAACCCAGTTTCTATCATTTTATTTTTTTTTCCAGGCACAAAAAGGAATAATTCAGTTTGTTGTTCCAAATATATTTGACACATTAATTCAGCATGAAAAGAATGGTTTAATGAAGTCTGAAGAGAATTGCTATCTGCCCTTTGAATGAGTTATCTAAATGCCACTTTATTATGCGAAGCTATGTAAAATAAATTGCCTTCCAATCTTAGTTAAGAAAGAAAAAGAAGGAGGAAAAAAACACTCTTATCACAGCCCAGTGTTTACGGAGAAATGATGTGAAGATCACTGCACCACTTTAAAGACGAGTAGGGGGGGTGGATGGGTGGAAACTTTACACCAATAGCCCCCACATTGAGAAGCGGATAATTTGACATGGAGATAATTATCGTCTTATTTTAAAAAGCGATTAAGTGCAATTGTGTTCCGCAAGAAGAGACACGGAACCAAGAAAACAAAACTTAAGTGTGGCATTGTTCAGTCATAGGCTTGGAGATGGAACCCAAACCTTTCAAAATGCCTAACTATCTGTCACTGGGTGGTATGAAAGTACGATAAATAAATAGGCTTATATTCCCTCCGATCTTTGACTAGGCTACCCTACACCTTTAAGGATGCTATCAGAAATAGACAGTTCTTCCTTGAAGTTTCCTATGGAGAGGCATTTTACAGGTGGTCTTCAACCATGCATTTAGTGAGTGTTCAGAGCCACTAAAAGAGGGACTTTTCCCCATTTTTTCACACTTATGACCATTGCGGGATCCCCTGGTCATGTGATCAGAATTCAGACACTTGGCAACTGGCATGTACTTAGACAGTTGCAGCGTCCCAGGAGTCATGTTGCAACCTTCAATGGGGAAGCCAGATTCTCTTCACGGTGTTACTAATTTAACAATTTGCAGCGATTCGCTTAACAACAGTGGCAAGAAAGTTTGTAAAATGGGGCAAAACTCACTTAACAGATGTCTTCCTTAGCAATGGAAATTTTGGGTTCATTTGTGGTTATAAGTTAATAACTTTGTAGAAGACAGAGGTCATTGCTTTAATTATACTCCTCACTGTTTCTCATAATTCACTGCATTTGTTAATATAGCTACAGCTTATATTTAGAGAATCAATTTAATATATTCTTTAATATATCCTCCTCCTCCTCCTCCTCCTCCTCCTCCTCCTATCTTCTTCCAGCTTCTTCCAGTGCCTAAACATGGCTATTTCTGCCAACTGGCTGAAACAGACTCCACGGATATTCAAAACTGGGCCAAGGGCTGCCATCATCCCTTCAGCTAGAGGTTGCTCACTCCCTGATCTATCCTTATTGACTGTGGCCCTTCAGGGTTTCAGATGGGCGTCTTTCCCATCCCTAACACACCCTGGAAAAGATGTCCTTCCTGACAGAACAATGATCAATCTGGGATGTGTAACAAAACAGGTGATCAAAGCTTTTCCTTCCTGACTTGTGACTCTAATTCAGAGAGCTAGAAAAGCACAAAAGGTCTTTTCTGATGCTTTCTCCAGTAGCTCCGTTGGCCGAGATACCTTGTTGGCATTTCTTTGATCTGCCTCCGTTGGGCAAAGAAAAACCTGCCTATTGTGTTATTTATTTATTTTTTTGCTGAATTATTATAGCTCTTCACACCGCTTTCCCACTTCCCTTAATTTAACAACCTTTATTTTTAATCCCTTGTTTTTAACAAAATGGACTTATTATTCATCTGGGTTTCTCAGACATAATTTATGATTTGGTATTTTCTTCCCTCGCCCCTGTTTCCTCCCCCACAAGTAATGTGAAGCTCTTGGCACTAACTTGGCTGGTGGAAAGTGATTTTTATCATGCAACACCAAAGAAAGTGTACCGTAATGGATAAACAATATGCATTTACCGTGATAGATGCATTGCTCCACAGAGGTTCCTTAGGGTCTGTCAGTGACAGAGTACATTGTGTTCCACATCCTGCCTTCCCTTTCTTGGTTACACATTGTCTCTGACACAAGGTTTGCCTTTCTGCTATCTTTATAGCACTTTCAGGAAGGTGAACGGAATCTAAAAGAAAAGGAGAACAGAGAGGATGATGGACCTTGAGCAATCAGGATAAACAGTAAGGCAAAAAGGAAAAAAAAAGATTCGTGTAGAAGGAGCTTACTTCAGGTCCTGTTGATGCAAACAGCCTGTTCACAAATCCCTAGAGATAGTGAAGTCAATGGTAGGGAAAGGAGTGGCAGAACCTGAGGGAGGAGTCAAAAGAGGGCTCAGCCTAGAATCCCTATATAGCCACAAGCAGTTTAAGTCTAATCTCCCTTGAATTCCATGGACCCTTACCTAATTCCAAGCAGGTGCTAACCATTAGTCGAAAAGATTCTAGTGCAGGGGTGTCAAATTCGCGACATCACGTGACGTGTCGTGACATATCACAACTTTTTTTTGCCATTGCCGGCAATGGGGTGGGCACGGTTTTGCTATGATGCATCCAGCCCGCGGGCCGGCAGTTTGACACCCCTATACTAGTGCATAGGCTTTTTAAGCCATAAAATAGTTTAATTCTACCTTCGTGTGTGGATCTGGTCTTTCGCGCCTGACATCAGCTGACATCACTTGATCCCGAGATTTCTGTTTTTCTATTCCAATCTGAAAAATAAATAAATGATGGTTTAATTATTCCAGACCAAAAAAAAAAAGCCAGCAGCCTGTCTGTTCTTGGCTGTTAATTGGCAATCAGTGTCAGGAAAACAAGTTAGCCAGTCTGATTGTTGTTAGAAAGCAGGGAACAAGATGGCTGACCTGTTTTTTGCCAGCAGACAATAGACTATCTGTCTGAGCAAATGCAGTGATGACACTGTTCAAGACTCAGTCTGCAGCAGCATCGGGACCAGGCATGTAAAAGAGGGACTTGTGGAATGACATCGCTGTAGGACAGGGCTTCCCACATCCTTTTTAAAGGCTGAGCGATGAAGAATGGAGGCTATTGAACTCTGATGCTGGAGAAGACTCCTGCGAGTCCCTTGGACTGCAAGGCGATCAAACTAGTCAGTCCTAGAAGCAATCAACCCCGACTGCTCTTTAGAAGGCCCAATCCTGAAGTTGAAACTCAAGTACTTTGGCAACTTAATGAGAAGGAAGGACTCACTGGAGAAGAGCCTGATGCTGGGAAAGATTGAGGGCGAGAGAAGAAGGGGACAACAGAGAATGAGATGGCTGGACGGAGTCACCGAAGCAATAGGCATGAGCTTAAATGGACTCCAGAAGATGGTAGAGGACAGGAAGGCCTGGAGGAACATTGTCCATGGGGTCACGATGGGTTGGACGCGACTTCACAACTAACAATAACAACAAAAATGTTTTAAATCCCATCTTTATTACTTTATAAGTAACCCAAGGGGGGGGGAAGATTCCTAATATTCCTTTCTCCTCCTATTTTTCTCACACCAGCCCTGTGAGGTGAGTTGGGCTGAGAGTGACAGAGCCAAGGTCACCCAGCCAGATTTCACACCTAAAGTGGGATTAGATCACACCGTCTCCTGCTGATTGACCCAAAGTCATCCAACTGGCTTTCACACCTAAGGCAAAACTAGAATTCACCGTCTCCTGGTTTCTAGCCAGAAGCCTTATCCACTGGAACCAAACTGGCTTGTCTTTTTCAATATCTTGTATGCTTTGCCGCACACGTTGCTGGAAGTGGGCCTCCTCCCTCCCTCCCTCCCTCCCTAGGCTTTAAAAAGACCATCCAAATCTGAGATTTTCAGCAGGTATTAGGGGTAGAAATATGAACTGCTCCCTCTAAATTTGGAAGACAGGAAGGGCTGGATCACAGCATTGTTCTTTTATTTATCTCTGGCACAGAACTGTGTTTGCATCAAGCTTATTATAGATACTGTCTACAGATAGTATCTTGCGTTAACCCTACTTACAAAATGAGAGGGTGTATGCTGCCCTTGAGTCAGTTACGGAATCCCTTTAAATAAGCAAACAAAGTCTCTAAAGTTCTCCCATTGGTCAAGACAAGTGCTTTCTGCTTCGTATCATATATTTGCTTGAGGAAAGCAAGCTGGAGAAAAAATGGCAGAGAGGAAGTGAAGACACAAGGCAAGGCAATGGATCGTTTTTTTCAGCAGGAGAAAGAACATCCGTTCAGATGATAATTGTGCGTTTTCCTTAATAATATGCAGGGATATAAAAGACTGTTAATCCTTCACTGCTGTTATCTTTATCTCTTTTTTACTTATGGAAGTTGGTCCTGGGATTTTAAGGAATACTTAAGTTATATGCAGAGCACAACATGAGATAGGCTAGATGAATCAAAAGTTGGAATTAAGATTGCCGAGAGAAATATCAACAACCTAAGATACTGTATGCAGATGATACCACTCTAATGGCAGAAAGTGAAGAGGAACTAAAAAGCCTCTTGATGCGGGTGAAGAAGGAGAGTGCAAAAAACCTCAATATTAAGAAAACCAAGATCATGGCATCCGTCGCTCTCAGTTCCTGGCAAACATATGGGGAAGAAATGGAGGTAGTGACAGATTTTATCTTCCTGGGCTCCAAGATCACCACAGATGGGGACTGCAGCCAAGAAATTAAAAGATGCTTGCTCCTGGGGAGGAAAGCTATGCAAATCTAGACAACATACTAAAAAGCAGAGACATCACCCTGCCAATAAAAGTGTGTATAGTCAAGGCCATGGTTTTCCCAGTCACAATGTATGGCTGTGAAAGTTGGACCATAAGAAAGGCTGAGCGCCAAAGAATTGAGGCCTTTGAACTATGCAGTCCTGCGAGTCCCCTGGACTGCAAGGTGATCCAACCAGTCAGTCCTGGAGGAGATCAACCCCCGACTGCTCTTTAGGCCAGATCCTGAAGTTGAAACTCAAGTACTTTGGCCACTTAATGAGAAGAAAGGACTCACTGGAGAAGAGCCTGATGCTGGGAAAGATGGAGGACAAGAGAAGAACGGGACGACAGAGAATGAGGTGGCTGGATGGAGTCACTGAAGCAGTAGGCGTGAGTTTAAATGGACTCCAGAAGATGGTAGAGGACAGAAAGGCGTGGAGGAACGTTGTCCATGGGGTTGCAATGGGTCAGACACAACTTCACAACTAACAACAACAACCGCATGAATTTGATGCTATTACTACTCGTGTTTGGAAGCTGCGATTAGGAGCAAATAGGTCATCATTGCATTAGCCCATATTGGTGCATTCTAACATTCAATTATGTCAGGGTGCATGGATATTTTTATCTCAGCTATTCTCTAGATGAAGAATATATACATGTTGTGAATTATATTCATTTAATTATTTAAATATGTGTCATCATGTGATGTTTGTAAGCAAGTGAGCAATCCATCTTTCTGTAATCACTGTGAAATTTCCACATGACAGCTCTTTATGACAAAGGGGCAAAAGACAAGATGTTGAATTATTCACTTCTTCAAATACTACCATCAGAGAGGGGTAATCTCTGTTAAAATGTTGAATGAAGCACTGACATTTAAACCACTTTCAAGAGAGAAAGATCAACTGCCCCATTGACACAAGGTCATTTGTGGGCAACTGGAAATTTGCAGAGTTCTGAATCAACATGGAAGCGTAAATTGCATCAGGCCAGAACTTCAGCTGAACATATGGAGATCACATGCCATAGTGTGAAAGGGAGCCCAACCGTGCAAAAAAAAATGTCAATGCGCAACTGCTAGTGTATCACATGGTGTCTACCATAAATCTGTAAAATTATTTCAAACAATAAACTCCTCCTCCCACACATACACACATCCCTCCAGTTTGTGGCCATCAGTTCATTTTTCCATTGTTCCAGGGTTAGATGAAATCTCCTTTGTTTCTCATTTTGTTTCTTTTTTGGAGATTGTCTGCCTCATCCCCATCTCCCTTTTATTCTAACCCAGAAAGAGTTCTAATGTCAAGTTTGGATGACTTACATGATTGTCACCGTATTTTAGGATTTTCATTGATTCCACAAATTTTGCTTGTTTGGTGTCATAGTAAAAGGAACAGAAAATAGAATAGAATAGAATAGAATAGAATAGAATAGAATAGAATAGAATAGAATAGAATAGAATAGAATAGAATAGAATAGAGTGGAGTGGAGTGGAGTGGAGTGGAGTGAAGTGGAGTGGAGTGGAGTGGAACGGATAATAGGATAGGATAGGATAGGACAGGACAGGACAGGACAGAACAGAATAGAATAGAATAAGTGAAATGAGAATAGAATAGAATAGAATAGAATAGAATAGAATAGAATAGAATAGAATAGAATAGAATAGAATAGAACTGGAAGGGGTCTTGAAGGTCTTCTAGTCCAATCCTCTATCCATTCCAGGAGTCCTTCTATCATCCTGAACAAACGGATGTCCAATCTTTTCTTGAAAACCTCCACAACTCCATTGATTAATTGTTCTCACTGTCGGGAAATTTCTCCTTCATTCCAGATTGGATCTCTCTTTAAGGGTCTTCCACCCATTGCTTCTTTTCCTGCCCTCAGGAGCTTTGAAGAATAAGTCAACCTTCTCTTCTCTAAGGCGCCCCTCATGTACCCCTAGTTCTTCTCTTCGTTACTTTTGAGCCTTTTAATTCTTTTTCATTGTTTTGAGGCTTTTAATTCTTTTCTTTGATACTTTTGAGGCTCCTCTGCATTTTGTAAATACACTTCACAGTGCTTGCTGTTCTGATGCCATGACTAAAGAAATGTTTCCAGGGTTTCTTTGCAGTGATTAGAGTTCCAAAATTCAGACTTCCTTCATTATCAGACCGGTACAGCTTATCTGAAGGAATGCTTTTGCAAATTACCCACACATAATCAAATACATGCACACAAGTGACTGGAATCATGGATATACACTTGGGGTTTTTTTTTATTAAAAAAAAGAGGATAGTCTGTTGTTCTTTTACTAAATGCTGGACACAGCATGTGAAGCAGTAAACTCAGTGGCTGGCACATTTGATGCAGAGAAAACAAATGTTGATTATCTTATTTTCTATGCAGTCATCAATTTAATTAGCCTTTGTCCAAGACTCATCCGCTAGCAATGGACAGATATGACCAGATCAGGCAAGAAAGATTTATTGATAATGCAAAATTTGGATGGCACTGTGGAGATTATTTCATTTTACTTTTCATTATTGCAGCATTGGCCATGATGCATTCTACTGGTATTCAGGAAATTTGATTGTCAATTAGATTTGATGTGGAATTATGTGTTGTGAATGGTCAGGCCTTATTATTATCAGGAACTACATGATTACAGTCTGAAATGTACAACACTTGGCTTTTATTATAATCAGCTAACACAGCATACTTTAAAGAAAGGGGAGATGTTGCTTTAGCATTAAAAACTGTATTAAAAGAATTTCCTTCTCCTGTTCCCCTTGAAGGGAGACACTACAAATCACAGAAAATTATTTTCTGTAATTTAAACTTGCCTAAACTAAAGCATTTTTTAAAAATGTTTTAGAAATCATTGGTAGAATTTCAAGGCTGAAGTTAACAGATAATTACTCTGAAAAATAAACAAGCTTATTTGGAAGTAAACACAAGGCATAAAAAGATATTAATCAGAATCCATCAAGTATGTGTGGGAAAATACAATGTAATTGTACATCTTGGTCCTGATTTCCTACTTGTACCTGTATTTTTTTTTTTTTTTTGACGATCCGATGCTTTTAATTATGAGCCTGGGTTTATTACAGTAAGCCCGTATAGATCAACTATTTATCAGACATTGATCCACACATATACAAATAAAATGAAGAAGGGGGCAATGAGGGAGGGAGAGAGGGAGGGAGGGAGGGAGGGAGGGAGGGAGGGAGGAAGGAAGGAAGGAAGGAAGGAAGGAAGGAAGGAAGGAAGGAAGGAAGGAAGGAAGGAGGGAAGGAAGGAAGGAAGACCAGTCCAAGAAATCAACAAACTGGAGTGGGGAATATTTGGGATATTTTAGAAGAAGATTCAGAGAAATGGGCTGGAAATAACAAAATAAAATTTAGCAGAGACGCATATA